TACATTGCGTCATATATTGCGTCATATATTGCGTCATATATTGCGTCATATATTGCGTTATACATTGTGTTAGTGGAATTATAACACCTTTGAGGATATATAACTGAATTTAAATTTAATGTAACCGAACCTAACTTAATTTCACACACACACACACACACACACAGATATATCTTTCAGACATCACACACACACACACACACACACACACACACACACACACACACACACACACATACATACATACACGTCTACATATACGTCGTCGGCTAACACGCCCACACCTGTCGCACCTTCCACACATCTGCGAATTGCTGACGCGTTTCCTCCCGTGGCTACTGGAAGCTGACAACACTCTATGAACGCTGACAACAAACACTGAACGCTGACAACACTCTATGAACACTCTGAACGCTGACAACACACGCTGACAACAAACACTGAACGCTGACAACACTCTATGAACGCTGACAACAAACACTGAACGCTGACAACACTCTATGAACGCTGACAACAAACACTGAACGCTGACAACAAACTCACGCTGACAACAAACACTGAACGCTGACAACACTCTCTGACAACACTCGCTGACAACACTCGAACACTGACAACACTCAACGAACTATGAACACTGACAACAAACACGAACGCTGACAACACTATGAACTCTACAACACCTGACAACAAACACTGAACGCTGACAACACTCTACGCGTGAACACTGACAACAAACACGAACGCTGACAACACTCTATGAACGCTGACAACAAACACTGAACGCAACAACACTCTATGAACGCTGACAACACTCTGACAAACACTGAACGCTGAACACACTCTAACAACACTGAACGCTGACAACATGAACGCTGCTGACAACTGAACGCTCTATGAACGCTGACAACAAACACTGAACGCTGACAACACTCTGAACGCTGACAACAAACACTGAACCTGACAACACTCTATGAACGCTGACAACACTCTATGAACGCTGACAACACTCTATGAACGCTGACAACAAACACTGAACGCTGACAACACTCTATGAACGCTGACAACACTCTATGAACGCTGACAACACTCTATGAACGCTGACAACACCCACAGTAAAACAACAACCAACATACATTATCTCACCTAGGGATAACGACCTCACGAGCCTAAACTATTTCCCCTTTAACAATATATAAAGCTCATATAGACGTCTTTTAACCTCTATTAACTAATTAAACGTTTAGTGTTAAATAACTTAACCATTAACTTATATTCTGTATAATATTAACTCCTTATAAGTAATGCTGATACGAGAGGACTTTGTGTGCGTGTGTGTGTGTGTGTGTGTGTGGGTGTGTGTGTGTGTGTGTACTCCGTTAACTACAGGTGTGCTGCTGGCCGATACATTCACAGGTGTTACTCTTGATCAATACGACAGGTAGATAGCATTGGTCACCACTAACTGTAACGATTAACTGTAACTACTAACTGTATTCATTAATTGTTATCTACGTACAATTCATCTTTTGTTTCGCCTCTCTTGCTGACTGACTGACTGACTGACTTTACTGACATCAAGGGGTTTTCATTTCACTGCTGCCTTCTCGCGTCACCTGTGGCCAAGTTGTAGCTCTCCATAATTCCACGTTTCATTATAATCATGTGGAGGGAAAAGGTTCATCTTAAGCTCTGGGTGTTTGATATGGGGTGAGTTTCCCTCCAGGTTAATTGAACAAGTACTGGCCTGGTCAGGTATACAGAGTACGTAAACATTGTACATAGACAGTGCAGGTAGTCCAACAAAGGCATCAAAAGCTGACATAAACTTTAATTAACAGAAAGAATAGTATAAAATTGTCTCTGCCTTCTTATATAGCTTATTCTTTTGTGTGTTTGGGGGGGTGGGTTGTCAGTGCGTCAGTTCGTCTGTAGATTCAGCGTAAGAGAGCCAAGGACATTCAGGTCATACCCGTCAACACTATCAGGGGCGTATCCAGGGGGGGGGTTTTCTGGTTGCCCTCCCACCCCCCTCGAAGCCCACGCTGCTCGTCTGAAGTGCCTTTGATCTGCCGTCATCTCCCTCCCTTACCTGTCATATTTAATCTTAATACGGTCAAACACAAGCGGTTTGATCATAAGACATACTTGTGTGCGGAATTTTGGGTCATGTCAGGTCATAAGCTCAGCTGATGACCTGACATGACCCTCAGGACCACTGGCGTCTTCATATAAATGACCAAGTTGTGACCCAGGAGTCAGTCATGAGCCCCTGTTTCAGCTGTGCACAACACCTGCGCACTCTTACATTATCGTGTTATTCCCGTGCGTGTATAGTGTGTTTGCGTGTATAGTGTATAGTGGCGTACAGTCAAAGCCGCCAAGCCCTACCAGAGACGTGGCCAAGGAGACTCTGGGTACACCATCATCCACCAACACTGAATCTAGTGCAACTGCTAGCATCCCAGTGAAACGTAAGCTACAGTGTGACGATGTGAATGTCACTTCTGCATCGAAATGCCCACGACGTAAGTACAAATATCTATTAATTATGTGTAAGTCAGACAGGGTTGGAAAAAATTTTCATAAATGATGTATGACAAGACGTCGATATACTGTAGTTCACCGTACCGACTATTTATATTTTTTATGCTTCCCTAAATCATTATTTACTGTGTTGAATATTGAGAACCATCTAGAATCATAAAACTCTAGTCCTGCTTATATTTCTACATCCTATAAATGTCACGAATGTACATTTTTTTCAAACATTTTTAAAATCTACTTTTCTTAATATTCAACACAGTAAATGATGTTTAATAATATAATAATAAGTTTTCAGCAATAATTTGGTAATCCCTAATTATTGCTGACAACTAATAGCCGTCGCATATGGCCTCAAAAAGTCCCTGAAATTTATCAAATTTAAATTTTTTCTCGGGGTGGGGGGGGGCTTCCACCCCACCACCCAGCTGTATGGGCTCGCTGTGGTCGCCCTGTACATATACGAGTACAGTATTTACATTCGGACAATCTGGGCAACCCCCCCATACCAGGGTCCTGGTTCCGCCCCTGAATACATACCTGAACTGACCAACCACCTGACTGGCTAGTTAGTTAGCTGATAAGTGGCGTAGAGGATAAATAAACAAGACGGTAGATAAGGAAAGCTTATCTCTGTTGGGCCCTCCTGATGAGATAAGATGATCGTACGGGAAGGGATGTTAGATGACTTATCAAAACCCAACAACCCTATGGACTAAACAAATAAATTTTCTCTGACTACAAATGTAACAGCCACCGGTACCTCCACGATTCACCAGATCGCTTTAACGAAGAATCATCACCATTTCATCTCTTGCTGCAGCTTTGAGCCTACATTGTTCCATCTAATCATTCTAATGCCTGGCTGTTGAAGAGAGACTGCATGACACCTTGTACCAATACCTTAACCCCCCTCGTGACCCAGTACTGTATTAGTCCCACCACGCTAGGTGTACAGTACCTAAACGGTGTGGATATAGAACATTAGTAAACAGCATAAGACAGACCGAGGATTACCGACAAAATTATTTGACGCTTATATCCAGTAGGATCCTTTGCCTGGACTAGGTTACTTGTTAGTAATAATATATCTACAGGAGTAACACTGAAAGTTTTTATATCAACTCAGCAAGCATATTATTGCGCTTTGACTATCCGAGACTGACGATTACTTCAACGATCACTACAACATCGTGTGGCAAGTAATATTGGAGCTCACACTCTCCTCCCTTACTGCAGTTTCATCTGTTATGTATTTTTTTTTAGTTTTAACTTTGAATTGTTTGATAACATTACTGGTTTTAATGTGGTTAGGTAACTTGTTCCAGTCCGTCATAGCTGTGAAGAGGAAAGTGTTTAATGCTTGCCCGCGGACACTAGGTACAATACCTAGTTGGGTACTACCGCCTGGGAAGATATTGGAAGCATAATGTGTTGTCTAATGGTAGACCCTACTGCCATATGGTACCACAAAAATTTGACCAAGTCCCAGGTTGCTGATCTGACTTTCTGCCTCATTTACACACAATTGCAGGGTCTCAAGTGTTTCTCTTACTAGCAGCCACGTATGGTCTTGAAGTAACTCCTGTTCTTGTTCCAATATGATTCAATAGTTTGTGTGTGCTCACCAGTATTCACATCCACAAAATTGACTAAAATTTTTGAGCCCACTTATTATTATATAGTCCTCCTACCAGACTGGAGGGTCCTGACTCCACTAACCTGAAGATTAACAACCCTGGAGGGTCCTGACCCCACCTGAAGAATTGTCACCCCAGGTGTTGCCACCTGGTACACGTACTGTACCGGCAATAACATTTACAGTTAAATGGAATAAATTTATGACGCGATCTTTTTTTTTTTTTTAATCTCATCGTTAAGGATTAGTTTCATGAAATCTAACAAGGAACAGAAGTTCATATACACAATATATGAGTGTAACATAACTCGGTAAAGTACATCTATGGCTTGCAGGCAGAATAAACCAGAAACAGAGGTCGTGCTCTCCTTAGGCTGGGTTGTTGACGTGTGGTTTATTATTCGAAACGAATCAACGACAATATAAAGGGAACAAAGTTTGTGAAATATAACAAAAATTGAGACTTTTCAAGAAAAAAATAAATTATCCTCTATGTTGAAATTTAAACACATAGAGATTATGTTAAAATCACTAAGTAAACAATCAAATCATAATAGGAGGATGAAGCCAGAGCCAAGGCGTTGAGACACATCGTCTACGTTGCGTATATCCTTCCCACGAAGTATTGCCAAATCTACATCATAACCTTTAACACAAATTGTAGATGAGATAAATTTGGGTAATGAATTATTTCAGCCACTATGATATTGCAGAAATTATATTTGAATTTATATCACGAAAATACACGATTTAGCTTCAACAAAAACAAAAAGGGATATTGGCCATTCTGTGTATCTGGCAACCTTGGTGGAGTGGAGTTACCCATGATGCCTCAGTGTACGTGTCAGCGATAACAGGAGAGGGTCGCTACTCTGTCTTATATACTCAAAACTGCGCCCTGTTTCGACCGGTTCTTCTCTTAATGCCTCTGTGAAACGTTACGAGCTTTACCGTGAAGCTGTATTGGACGCACTGAGAGCAACAATGTCGAGGACAGCGGTGGTGTTGTTACTACAGCTGATGGTAGTGAGCCAAGCCTTCTATCTCCCCGGCCTAGCCCCTGTCAATTATTGTCGCAGAGGAAGTGATGAGGCTAAATGTCAGGTTAGTTAAACCCTATATGTGGCCAAGATGTAATTGGTCAGAAAACATCTAAAGCAGACCACACAAACTAACCAACCTTGGCTTGGTAGGTGTAACGCTAAAAGTTAACTCACCAGGGTTTTTATCCACTGTTTTCTGCACGTGTAAATTAGTTCTGTAGTAAAATAAATTGGAAAATGGTAGATAATAAGGCCGCGCAAGTGTAGTCTATTATCACTTATGTATTGCTTGGGTTCAGTGTCGTGTGTACCAGTCACAATTTTTAGCCTATAATTATGAATCTTGAAAAGCTATAAAATTCAAAAGACGATCGGCCTATTCTCAAAAAACGGCTCTAGTTTAGGTGTTATTTTTCTTGAAATAATTGCATTAGAGAACCTATACTCCATGAAAGCATATAGTCTTAGGTAGGTGTTGTGCCACCCTGGCCAACCCTTTCAAGATCACGTTTCCTTAACAAACAAATGCCAAGTTTGGGATCCTGTGATATTATTGAAATTGTCATATTTCGGCCACCTTTAGGCTGAATCGGCTGTGTTGTACAATTAATCAGGCCGTTCACATATATTTATTATTTGGGTTTAAGTAACGAAACCCAAACTGTAGTTCCTTGTTTTATTATAAAAGGATTGTATCTATAATTCCTGAGTGTAGATCGACCGTAAGTTCCACTGTATATGAGTGAATGAGAAAGGGACGGCATTTATGTATTATAAACGTTAGGTCACGTCCTTACGATATAACTTTCTGTGAGCGACTACTCGAGTAAGGGCCTCGCTGTGCGGGGCTTACAGATATGCTGACGATGGGTCTCTACCTCCTGGGAGAGTTGCCCTCTCACGTGTACAAGTCATGTCTTACTGATAGACAGTGGAAAGTTACAGGGTGGTGAATCTGAATATAATATCAGATGTATTGAACCATTTATATAATATGTTCTGTTGATGAGACAGGGACCCATTAAAAGGCAGAATTAAATGAAATTTGCTTGGAATCTGGTAAATTTTTACTTTCGGACATGAGTCCCTAGGGATTGACAAATATGTTTTTCGGTTAATATATAGGACTAACCCGCCTGGCTGCATAGCACCGATGCGGCCATATCATCTCATGTTCAGAAAATGCCTCAAATTTCACCATATCATAGTAAGTTCTTTATGTTTAATATACCAGGGAAGTCAATTAAAGTTAGGTAGGTTTGCTTGGTTTAGTTGGTTAGGTCTGTTCTTCATAACCACAAATGTTAAGTAGCGTTTATTTTAAAAATATCCGTTTTTAACATTCCACAAACTACAACTGTGTCCACTATAATATAACAATGAAAATCCGGCATTTTTATAATTGTTTTCAATCAATTTCGCCCGCCGGTTAGTCCTATATAATTACCTGTTTTTCCAGTGCATTTTGGTGTGTTCAAATCTGGCCATCATTTTGAAAGGAAATTGTTCATTTTTACACCCCCCCCCCCATAACAATAATGGGGGAGAGCCTGGGAAATCAGGGTTTTTGGGTGGGGGAGAAAATGAAAACGAGTCATCTAACCTAACAAAACCTGGACCCCCGGTAGGCCTAGCTTAAACTAACATAAATGTTTCAGTAGTTCAAAACATTGGGGCGCGCCATGTCCGAAAGTACAATACCTTAGTTAGAAGTGGAAGGACCAGGGGTACGTAAAAATTGGATAGAATGATTGTCTTTCTCGTAAGACTCGGCAATAAACTTGAAATAATTGTAGGAGCACAAATGGCAACCAACCTCCACCAACGCTATTGTGAGACTGGTCAATGAAATTGAAATCGTACCCAGGCTGCTTCCTTTGAAAAAAATCAGGAAAATTTGCATTAGTTCACACAACTATTTTTTTCTGGTGTATTTTTGTGTGTTTTGATTGGTTTTGACCTTGATTTCCGTCGGAAATTGCCTGTATTTTAGTTATCGGGGATTTTGGGGTGGGACATTTTCCAATAAAAATCATGGCCAAGCCAATACAAAATACACCCAAAAACACGAGAAAAACATATAAACCGCACCTGACCTAACATAACCCGACCTAACCTAACCCAACTTCCTCCATATGATGGAATCACTTATTTCATACCTTATTGGCCTGGTTAATGCTAACTATGTTGGTCTATGTTGCCCCATTGTTTCCCTTTTCCTGTGTGATTTTATCGAGATTTATCCTACCCACATTTCCATTGTGGATTTCCATGAAATATTAAAACAAGTAAACTAAGAATTTTGTGAATCAGAAGTTTGAAATCCGACAAGAAGCGCTACGTAAAGTGTGATTTCTGTAATGAATGGCAGACCAGAGAATGCAATAATGGTATATTAAGGGACTTCTATAAAAAAAATAGATAGCTTTCTTTATAACTGGAAAAAACAGCCTCATATTTAAATCCTGACTGTTAATATCCTTGTTGACCTCATTACCGAAATGGGCCGAGATGGCTGTAACTGGGTCGAAGTCACCAAGGGCCGATTTCACCTGCATCCATCTCGGCCATTTTTAGGTTATACTATTACATTAAAAGTTTTGCATATATGGCAAGTTATATTCTCAGTAATTATTTAAATCGTGCAGTGACCTTCGAGGATGATGGATAATAAGTAAAAATCTAGCCATGGCCGGCTACTGGCTAACCTATACACCACTGTAGACTGTCATGTATATTAGTCAATTGCTTCTTAAATGTATGACCACCATATAACACCCCGTAGCACAATCTTTGTGTATGACAATTCAATGAATTAAACATTTCTTAATTCCCTTGTCATACTTGGTTATACAGCCAATGTCATGGATATTCATTAAACAAATATCAGTAGTTCCCTATAATTAGGCTCTGCCACGCTTAATTACTTAAAATACAGGTTAATGTCTATCGACTGCACAAGGGTCATTAAGGCAAATATGACTTCGGTTAAGATTTAGACCCAGGATGGGGAGGGTCTATGCTCTCCACTTTGCCCCTTGTCTGCCACACCCCAGGTGGGAGAGGTAGCGTTCTCCCTTCTCATAGCCGTGTTACATGGCCTCTGATGCTTAGCGCGGTAGATTAATTTCCATTTTTCCTTGTAATTAGGGCAGGCGAAGGCAACACAGATATCGTAACAAGTGTTACAGAAAATGTGAATAATGTTGGGCATTATCATGTGCGGTGTGAATATGGTTTGTGTGAGGATCTGTTCTGGTGACAGTGATTCCACAAAGCAAGAATGAGTAAATGTTGTCCCACAGCCAGGATGAGTGAGTCATGGTACTAAGCGACAGGTTAGCTTATTATAGGCTTCTAAATAATAATAAATCTCGTCTTGCTAGCAGCACAATTCCTCTAGCTGACCTTCACTCCCACCCTCTTCACCCCCCCCATTCACCCCAGCCTGTCACCCTTCTCTCACACTGGCCCCCTGTCTCCCATTCCACGTCACGAGCGAAAGTGGGCTCATACTCCCGTTGTTCACAACTCTCGGAGACAGGAATTGACAACGCTGACTGTAGCCGGTGGAAGTGTCGGAGGCTGTACGCGCAGATGTTGTCACAATATGTACCATAACAGATAACTGTTGCTGGTAGTCTCCCTTGTAAAGGGTGTTGGTTACACTGGGGATGTAAACTACAGTATCCTGCATAAAAGAAGTTTATCTTTGTTTGCATACTCCTGTAAATATATACAGTACACATTATCTATTCCTCACATCTTTGGTATGTTTTTGCTTTTTATACTGTATGAGCCTTAGCATATTGTGGGATATTTATATTATATTTTCTTTTCAGTCAAATGTGCCTCTTTATGTGAACCGACTAAATTCAGAGGAGTCAGTCATCCCATACGAGTATGAGCAGTAAGTAGACATTGTATTTGTCATATTTTACAGTTACAGTACACTGCTTTCTGAGAACCTTCTCAGTACAGTATCAAGTTCATACATTTTGTCATTACTATAGGTATCATTGAGAAAATATACAATTAAAGATCTTATTTATTTTCATTTACAGAAATATATAAAATAAATTGGACAATGAATATGCCGTAGATCTTTTCTTTATAATTTTTTAATAATGAGAGTGTGATGCAGGTTAATCCTATCTTGTACTATATGGCATTCCATTGACTGGCAAACCTCCCAATGAAAGACATGTTCAGCTGCCATGTACAGTAGTTGTATAAATAATTTCTTAACTATTAATTATTACTGTATAACTGTACAATAGTGTAAAATGTCCTGTATATGTGTAAATTCCCTTTAATGTACAGTATGTATTGCTTTGTCTCACAACATAATATTCACTCAAACATCATTCAGCACAGGGTGGCTGAATTAAGAGCAACATAGACTGCGCCCTCACATGTTATCAGACAGCCTCTCCAACTGCCTTAACAAATATGTACTGATACTGTTGTAAAGTTCACTTTCTATAATAAGGTCCCAAGTTATGCCAGTTGTTTCATGTGAGGTATCTTCACATATCATGCACTTTGGTATTGTACATGTGCACAAATCATTGTTTTAAGGATGGTCAGGGCCTTTTTGTCTACAGAACTGCCTCCTTTACCACATCCTTCCTCTGGGTTCTCGGTTGTACCCCCTCGTACTGCTCACCTCAGTCATATGCCCTTACTTATTGCTTCTCTCGTGTATGCACCATCATGGCAACCTTCACCCTTATGCTCCTTTTACTTTCTCACTACCTTTATTAAAGTAGCTATTGTAGTCTGTTTATTTTATGCTAGTTGTTGCTTTTTTTATACTGGGGGAGAGAGTGGCCTAAGTTGTGTAAGAATACAATACTCTATAGAGGCAAGTTTTAGGAATGATAAATGGTTACAATTAAAGGAGAACCTTGGTTAATATTGACTCCCGCCACTGCTGTAGTAGGAAAGGTCCTATGAGGGTGAAAAAATGTCTTGCATAATACATACCTATACATATATCATTTTCTTTTTAACAGTTTTGACTTCTGCAAAGCTCTCCCTGATAACAAAGAGACAGTGGTCGAGAACTTGGGTCAAGTGATGTTTGGTGAGCGCATCCAGCCCTCACCGTATAAGGTGGGTAGCTGGTGTAATATATATATTGGTGCACAGTTTTATTGGGTACTTTGGTCACAGCTCTGTACCTTTGTGAAATGTGAACAGTTAAATGTTTTTAGAATCATCTCCATTACAAAGTTTATTGCATCAATAATTACTTTTTGTATTTTTCATTGAGGATATTATCTAGACTAAGTTATTGTGTTTAATGGGAACTATATTGTTCAACAGTCATTTGCCTGGTGTTCATTACAATACTGTACCTGGTTATTGTCACTCATTATCAAGGACTACTTAATCCCCAGAACCTAACCTAACTCCAACATAACTTCACCTACCTGTGATTTGATCTATTCCAGCATTAACCCAATCTATCTTGCCCCTAACCTAATCTACCTAACCTACCACACTCCTGACCTAACCTACCTCACCACTAACCTAACCTACCTCACCACTAACCTAACCTACCTCACCACTAACCTAACCTACCTCACCACTAACCTAACCTACCTCACCACTAACCTAACCTACCTCACCACTAACCTAACCTACCTCACTCCTGACCTAACCTACCTCACCACTAACCTAACCTACCTCACTCCTGACCTAACCTTCCTCACCACTAACCTAACCTACCACATGCCTGACCTAACCTATTCAACGCTACCTAACCACATGTGTGATTTGAGCATGGAGGTTCAGGGGCAGATCTGGGAATATCAAAGGGGGAGGGTCCAAGAAGTTGTGGGTTGGGGAACATAGCGAGCTCACCCAGCTGGGTTGGGGAGGGGGTTAACTCCTCAGATATTTTTTTTTATTTAAATCTGACCCATATCATGGGCATTTTGAGACCATTTTGAAGCTATTACTTCTTAATATACAAAGGTGCCTGAGTACAATACAGTGGTCCCTTGGTTAACGAACGGTTCGATTAACGAATTAGCTCCAATAAGGATTTTCAGTTCGATTAACGAACAAAACTTCGATTGATGAAATCCTTACGACAAACACGTTTTGTTGTGCGCATCAGCTGATCTGCTGATCAGCTAGTCCGCCAATACAGTAATTGGTTCTATGTTTACATTCGTTTCCAGTGGAGTAAATTTCAAGAAAGTTGGTCTCTTGAATACTTCTGCATTTTTTATATTAAAATTATTGGTCATTCTGAAATTTAGTTAACATATTGATAATATACAGTGCAGAAATTATTATGAAACATGAAGAAGGCATTAGAACTAATGCACTCTAAAGAATATGGCATGTCATCATCAACTGCCTCTACAATCAGCTGTTTGATATTTAAACAAAGCTGTCGGGAATCCGACATACACACCTCAAAGTAAGTTAAAATACAGTATTCTATTGTTTTTTATTTATTATTGTACAGTATACTGTACAGTACTGTGTTTAGTTTATATTTAATGTTTTGTTAATTCTATTACTGGTATACAGTACAGTACTTTGTATGCACTTTTTCTGTGAGTTGGGACCAATTACCCAATATCCCATTGACATAATAGATTCGGTTAATGAACGACTCTGTGGAACGAATTGTGTTCGTTAACCAAGGGACCACTGTACTGCATTAAAGAAAAAGTATTGGGATTTTCTGGTGAAAATGGGGGGCCCGGACCCCCCCTTGAGGTTTGTACAGTATTAAATTCTGAGAGGTTGGTTTGCTCTCATAGCTGTCTTGATCAGAACCTTTAGCTGCAATGTTTTTGATTATCAACTTCCAGATTGATTTCCTGAACCCACAAAAGTGTGTTCCAGTTTGCACCAAGGTTTACAACCCGACCTCTAAGGGGGACACTCAGAAGCTGAATGATCTTAAGAGAGCCATGAACCTCAACTATTACCATCACTGGATAGTGGGTATGTTTATGCAACATGGCTTTTATACTTAGTTATAAATTGTATTAAAAAAAATTCACAAGCTGCTTAGATCTAGATTTTAGATTTCCCTCCGTACGGTGCAGGAACTAGTTTATTGGGCACCCTCCTTGCAGAGTGTGAAATACAAAGCATTACAGTGCCTATTTCTCATTAGAACAACATTATAGTTTGTCCATGTGTGTCTGAAAGATTTTTTGGTATACTCCCCTGCTCTTAAAGGATATTATTTTAAGTTGGACATGCACCATACAAGTCAGAATTAACTTTGTTATGTATACCTGAGCAAAATGGTGATAGTTGTGTAATGTATACTTAAACAGGAGACGTGTTATTTGTACATGAACAGGACAGTGTTATGTGTACATGAACAGGACAGTGTTATGTGTACATGAACAGGGTAGTGACAAGTTAGTTTGGACTACCCTGTTTTGTTGTATTGACGTTGAGACAACCAGAAAGAGTGACGATGCTGAGGGAGATTGTGGTGTTACTCATGATTGTGGCAACTCTGGTGAAAGCAGGAAAGGTATTTTAACCCTTCTTCCCCTTATGCAGCTCGTATATATGTGTTTGTGTGTGCGCATGCATGCATGTAAATAAATCACTGTAGGTACACGTTACCCAAAAAGAAAACACAAATTTCTAAGTGCTTTCATGTCATGCGCATCTTTAGGTGTGAACAAGGCCTCTATAAAACATCATAAATATCTGGTATATTTTATTGTCCTGCACTGTATTAGTGAGTATTAAACATACACATCAGCGCATTGCATATCTTGACATTTCATTGCCAATAACTTAACTACATTATAGTGAAAATGTGTAGAAATTGGGACAATCAACTGATTTATCTGTTTATTGTCTGGCTGGCTGACTGAGCAGATCTCTCTCTGATAGCAGCATCCCTGCTGTCTGGCACTCAATTCAATCTTGTGGTACATGGTCGCTTATGGCAGTAAAAGGAAGTTTCTTGGTGACCATGTGGTGTAGCCCAAATAAAATGGTGGCAACAAAAACTGACCATAACAAGTGATAAAAGATACTTTGTAATCTTACTTTCTATTTAAAAAAAATATGTAACTTAAAAAAATAAGGGGAATTTGTTTATGATGATGATGATTCACATTTTCTCAGTGGTAGACATATACTGTACTGCCTGTTCTGCTTCCCCATGGATACAGTGACTGAATGGTCACCAGTTCAAGCCCCATCGCTGCCTCTGGGTCACTGTCCCCCGTCAGCCCAGCTGCAGACTGGGTACACGTTTAGTTATGAGAAATGTAATATGTTAAGAGTGAAGTTTCCTGTTATTCTGACATATAGGGCTGCATCCACATAACCCCTAAAAGGGTCATCAGGCATAGGGGGTCCATATTCACAAATTTTGCTTTTCCACACACAAAAATCCACTACCCTCAGGGCCCTCAGTCTCCCCTTGCTCAAGTTCTCTGCTTTATAATGAATGTGTCATAAAGCATGAAAAATTCTCATTGGCATCATCAGTATCAATAATCTCATATACATCTGGTTCCCCAGTTATGGATCATCCTGCAGCAATGTCATATACCCCTGTACCTGTATTTCTCAATAACATTATTTCCCTGCATTCTATACATTAATACCACAGTAGTTAAATTATATACAGCATAAGATATGTATTCTTCGGCAATCTTCAATCATAAGTCTTAAATAACTAGCCATTGCAGCATTTGTGTCAACTCTTGTCATACAGTGTTACCAGATCACCTGCCTCATATCATGCTGGTCTACCCTTACTTACATACACACACACACTCTCTCTCGCCAATATTTTGAACAAGGTTGTTTAGATTTGTGTGTTTTGTTACAAGGTTGTATCAGTTCATATTACTTTTCAGATAACATGCCAGTGACTTGGTGCTACAAGGTGGAGGGAGGGAGTGTCTTCTGTGCTACTGGCTTTCCCGTGGGATGTTTTGTGGATGTTACCAGCCGACCAAAAGATGCCTGTGTCATGGATGTCAGTATGAGATTTTAGCCATTATAAAGTTAATATTTTTGGGGGTAATAAAATATTGTTTCTAATGAATATTTATAATAGTTAACTTTGTCAAAAATACATTTAGTATAATGTCAGTATGTAGTGCAATACTGTACTGTCTTCATTATTAGGTTGCTGTATTTGCTATTATGCAGAGGGTTATATTTTGAACCAGCTATTGTCCAAATTGACTGATTCGCCTGATATATGGACCACTTCATATTGCCCCTGGAACAAAATCTTAATATTCTACCTTGTATGATGACTGAAAAATTACAAAATTAAGTTAAAGTTCAAATGTATCTACCGGTATTCATTTTACTATTAACTCACTTGTTTGTTTAATAATTCACAGTATGTCAGTTATGGACTAAATACCCCCAACCTCTGTAAATCGTCATTAATTTTTCCTTTGTAAATTTTAATGAATAAACCCTGATTTGCAAATGTGATTGACATAATAATAATGGCTATGTAGTTTTCTAAAAGCTACCCTGTTCTTGTGTAATTAAAAATTTCTATATTTGCTTAAATTCTTGTGAAATGCCTCTAGTATCCATGTTATTCTTTTTTCTCGTTAGAAATATTTGTGACGACCTGTGACGTGATGGAGATAATTCAGATGAATATCTTAGGAGCTTTTTGTGGCAGATGAGAATTGTTGGAGAACACATTGTGCAGACATTTATTTAGAGAAAACAAATGACAGTGAGTGGAGGAAGAGGTTTTGTTTGCTTGATGCTGGAAGAGCAACATCAGGACACTTCTGCTAGAGATAACATATGAAAGTCTGTTTACCTTGACATTGGCCACCTTGCAGCTTACAATAAAAATGCTGAGACATTCAATATGTTTAGCTTAGCTTGGTTTGTCATTGTCTTTACAGGTATCTGTTGATGATTGTAAATGTAGATTTATTAACCGTTAATTTCTTAATAATATTTCAGCAACGGTACAAGCAAGCCAACACGTATTATCTCTTCAACCACGTAGACCTGAACATTACGTACCACAGTGGCGATGGGGAAGACTGGGGCTCATCACTTAATGGTCCTGGAGGGCGAATTCTCTGTGAGTAACCTTGTGTGATACTACCTTACACTGTACAGTCAACCCTCACTTTACGCGGTCCCACATTCCGCGTTTCCACCCTGCCGGAACCCTGGATGCTCACATTCTGCGGTGCGTGTACCCCTTTACGTGGGTGAAGTATAATTTTTTTATTTAGCTCATAAAATTCATACAAATTACCCGGCCAGAATATAATTTACATTGCTGGAATTCTTAGAATTTGATGATCATTTTGAATATAAGCATCATAGATTTTGCATTAGACATACAAATTTTAGATCTAATGTATTTTGTTTACTCTGAGTAAATATGTTATCTTTTGTGCAAAATATATGACATTTATATTCAAAATATTCCTGGTCTTACAAGGAATCCAGCAATGTCAATTATATTATCCTAACTTTAGTTTGAGGTATTATTTATTACTATACCTTAAAATCTAGTGGTTTTCCCCAAAAAATTTCTCAGAGAGGGAAGAGCCAGGGAGTTGAGTCCATTATTTGAATGGACATTAACTTGGCGACTGTATTTCTCTATTTCTCTTAAGTATTAATTGTGTGCATGTACCATCATAAAATTAAGATGTTATTTTTACTAGAACATAGGTATTGTGTCGGGAAAAAGTGGAGTTTGGGGGTCAGCCGGTCTCTATTTCAATTAATCCCATATGTTATGTTGTTCACTTTCCGCAGTACCCTGTGGGTTGAATTAACTCACTTAACCAAATCCTGACTTAACATACATTTAGAAGCTTAATGTTTTTATACTGTAGCAGCAGCCATGGCGAGTGTTGGGACAAATGCAACACAGGGTCGACAGGTGATATATAACCTCATTAATGCCCCCCACCCAATGGATTGAAAAGCGTCGTATGATTTGATAACACTGAGGAGTAAATCACAGCTGCTTCAGATATTTTTTCTAGGTACAGGTTGTACCTCTCTAGTCCGGCATTCTGTGGTCCGGAACGATTTTAGTTTGTCCAATAGGTACAGTAGATAGGCAGCTTTTTTTTTTTTTTTTATGAATTATTATTATTATTACAGGAGTATTAAATTTTAGCTCCTCAGACCCCAATGTGGGTCAGTGACCTATGCCCGGGTGGGCTAATCCCCTTAAAAAAAAACGCCGCAGGAAATTAAGGTTTGTTTACGTTCGGCAGTTCGGCTGCTCTCTCTCTCTCTCTGCTTGTCTATACAGAGTACAACATTTAACCCTTCAATATCTATGAGCAGTAAATAAGTGTTGCTTTCATATTCTTATGTAGAGTAATGACAATATGTTTTCACATGTGTGTACTTATGTATGCGCAGTCTCACTTTTTTTTTTACCATTAATGGTTAGCTACTTATATTGTTCCATTTATTAACATTAAATAACATTACAGGTACTTCAAACAACCATATTAATTTTTTTTACATTAATTTTACTACAGCTAAAATCAGGGTCTTATTTTCTTCAGTTTTATATGTAGAACCAATCAGTCACTGGTTTTGTAAGCTTTAACATAAACAATGCCGGCAGCCGTCTCGTCTCCTCTGATATTCCACGTATTATTAATAAATTGTATTGTTAATTTTGCACACACTAAACATTAATTCAATAAAAACAAATTCAGAAACATTAATTAAAATATATATGAACAGTAAATAAGTGTTGCTTTCATATTCTTATGTAATGACGATATGTTTTCACGTGTGCGCACTTACATACGCGATCTCTCGTTTTTCTTTACCATTATCGTTAGCTACTTCTATTGTTCCATTTATTAACATTAAATAACATTACTTAAAACAATCATATTAATTTTACTACAACTACAACCAAGGTCTTATTTTCTTCAGTTTTATATGTAGAACCAGTCAGTCACTGGTTTTGTAATCAACGAAAACAATGCTGTGTCATTTCCTCGTGTGTTTTAATATTCTACGTATTATTAATGAATTGTATTGCTCATTTTGCACACATAAACATTAATTCAATAAAAAAGACATTCAGAAATAAACAATAATGAATCTTTTGTACATAAGAGAAATGACACTGTTTACACATTATGCACGTCGTCTGCACATTGGCGGGCCGTTCAAACCCGTCGAAATTCAAGTTTCCGCCGTCAAAATTTTTATTAATTTATTTTTTTGTTTAAATAAAATACGTTAAGAATTAAAAAGTCACGAAATTTGAGAATCTACTGTACGACATTTAACCCTTCAATATGTCTTCAAAGAGACCATGATGCAGAGAAAGTGGTGCTAGTGCTTCCAAACATAAGCACAAGTCACTATCTATCCAGGAAAAGGGTGAATTTCCATGGTCCGGCACCGGTCAGGTCCCGAGGTTGCCAGACTAGAGAGGTACAACCTGTATAACCTGCTCCGTTAGGGGGTGCGGTGCATCTTCTATGGCCGTGCTCCTAATGTGCCAGGAAATATGGTAAATTACAGTAATAGACACTCTCTGGATTACGGAGGGAAGGCAAGTACAGTAAACAAATACAATTAAGTAAATACTGTACAAAACTAGTGTATGTATAGTATTTCCATTTACCCTAAATCTTTGTCCTGATTTGTCATCCACACTAAATAAGTTTCATCTCACAAATAACACATGGCTGCTGCTTCATTATCATAGTAGATTTAAAAGGCACCGAGCTTTTCACCTACTCTATTCCTTTATACGAGCCCTGTCCTTCACGGTCAGGTGCACAGAGTTCATGTGAGAGGGTGGCGATACTTTTCTGTTTCCTACCACTTTATTTTTATATTTCCTTCTATAGATCTGTTACTTCTACATTTACGAGCAGGTCTTACATTCTTACTATCAAGTGGGTGCTCTCCAATAATTTTGCACTACAATTAAGGGCAATTTACAAAAGAATATTCTGAGAGGATGTATAGGTGATATGCACACTGTAGTGATCTAACAAAATGGTGCCTGACGGGACACGTCGCCTAGCCGCCATATGCCTCTTCTGTGGGTCTCTTCCACATTACTTGATGCCCATAGCAATGGATACTCCTCCGCACCATGAAAATTGACTTAAGGAGAGTATCCCATAAAGTAAAACAAATGCGTAACCCGAGTCATCCGTAACCAGGGGAGTGTTTCGTGTACCTGAGAAAAATGTTAACGCCTTGGTCAGTATGATATACAGGGGGGGTCCCCAAGTTACAAATGGGTTTTAGGTAAATGAAATATTGTAAATTTCATGTGTAACCCCGATCGTATCGGCAGGCGTTCGTAATTCGGACATTCGTAAGTTGGGGACCCCCTGTACAGTGATTATTATGCAGAATAAATTGTGTTACCCAGCAATACAACACAGTATAACCCATAGTATATTGTTGTACATGTTATTACACAAGATTTTATGGATTTTTTTCCAGTTTCAGATGTCTTAGATACACAGTGTATTGTGTTAAAGCAACACTGTCTCTTGCAAGATTTTGAATAATGTTGTTCCCCATTTCAAGTAATTTTGTCACAATTCATCTTAAAGATCATATATAAAATTTTACATGATATTGTTCCAATGTTTCAGCTAAGTTAAAGTGTATCACATTCTAGCTGTTCGTGTGTCACCTAAGAGTATCAAGCATGTGGCAGGAGTTAATGACAAGGACTCATGTGACACTGTAGAGGTGATGGGGATTAACAATGTCTTAAAGGATAAACTGGAGATCAAGTACACATACAGTGTGGCCTTTACAGTAAGTCTGCTTTCTGTTTTATTAGACGACTGATACAGTAATCAATTTAAGGTTTGAAGATAACATGAATATAAGGAAATGTACACTTAATGGTAATGGAAACTGTTGCTGTATGATGCTAGGTTATATGAAGTCAGAATGGTAAACTATAAAAATCATGGACTCTATGTGTAGAAGAGGGTAGAGCACCATTGTGGAACTCATCTGTTTTAGCAGCTGGAATGAACACATTACAACAACTGAGTCTTTGTTGCTCTTGGATCCAGTTACTCTACATCAAAGCTGGAAATTCTCTCTACCTTTCTCTGTCTGTTATCATCAGCTTGCGACTTGACTATAAGCATTTATCATTTTTGCACAAACAGAAAAGTACCGGGAACAACCGATGGTCGTCTCGTTGGGATTACATCCTGGACTCCATGCCTCATGCCAACATTCAGTGGTTCAGCATCCTCAACTCCCTGGTGATCGTTCTCTTCCTTTCGGGTATGGTGGCCATGATTATGTTGCGCACGCTACATAAGGACATTGCCCGCTACAACCAGGTTGGTTCCTTTTTATACCATTGTTTCCTCTTGGAGATGTGAGAGGGGATCATTCCTTTTTTCAGTATGAATCTTTGCATGTTAGTTAGGGTATGCCTTAGTGGTCAAAACAAAGCTGGGTATCCATTTCTAGGTAACTGGTAGATGGCTGCCATCTTGATATCCAAGATGACCAGTAAGGAAGGTGGTCTTGGTATCTAAGGATCATTCTCGAGGCCAATAAAACCAAATACAGTAAAATCCCTATAATAAGAAATGGTAGAGGTTCTAGCTTTTACAAAATATTGGGGAAACCTCCCCATGAGGGGAAAAAACAAAACAACAGTACTTTTCTGTTATCTGCCCCAATCAAAATTTAAATGTCTCTTAACCCCCTACACCCTGGGCTACGGTGCCGCTGGCCGTATCCCCCACGCCGGGTAAATCGAGAAAATCAACTTTAACCCTGAGGCCCCGGGTGACATTCTAGAACGTCAGACTAGCGTGCCCCGGGTGACGCTCCAGAATGTCCATCTATTTTCCCTCCATTTTTTATTTTTTTTTTTTAATTTTGGAATTTTTTTTATTTTTTTATTTATCCCTGCAGAAACGTTTACAGCGCCCATCTGGGAAGCATGAGAGTTCATGTTTGCCTTCATGACTCATGCATTAAGGGCATAAAAGCCTGAAGGGTCATGGGTTTTGTCAGCAAATTACATAAAGTGACTATGATGAGTGTGGGGGGGGGGAAATTCCCGATACAATTTATCTGTTTATGGCAAAGCGTGGCAGGTCCCTAATAATGTCAAGTGCCAGGCCATAGCCATAGGCATTGACAATATTGAGGGAAATACCTTTTAGTGTAACTGTGATGGCATGTACGTTGGTAGTGTCGGCTTCAATGGGGACGTCGAGAGGTTGGTAGGGGACGTCCTTCTTGGCGTAGATACGTTGTCCACGTGCATGTCCTCATGGTGGTCAATTGATGTGGAGGACTGGAGTGGATGGGCCCCAGGTGCCGGCATGCCGATGGGGGACGGGGAGCCGGGGGTGGTGTCCTTGGGTTCATGAGCAGGAGCGGCTTGTGGTGGGTGGACGGGGGCACACCGGGGCAGGCTTGGTAGGTGCCATGCCAGCAGTAATGCCAGGCAGCAGTGGAGTAGGCCGAGGGCAAGAGGGGCACACGGGGGCTACCAGCTTGTGTCAAACTAGAAGAGGGGGATGACTGGATAGCAGCTGAAGACAGGGGTAGTCTGTGTAGGTTGGAGATGGCAGTACAGAGTGTATCAAAGAGTTTTTCAATACGGTTGGTAAATTCGTGTAAGAGGTATATGATCTGTGTTGTGTCACCGGAGGGGGGCATCGGTGGGAGCACAAGGCCTGACAGCGTCAGAGTAGAGACGGGGAGGAGGCCCAGTAGTAGTTGAGTTAGGAGACGGCCGGGACTGCTGTGTTGAAGCCAGGTGAGGCTTGGCAGGGGCAGGTGTTGTTGAAGAAGGTGTTGCTGGAGACAGAGGGGACGCAGAGGAATGCGGCCCGGTAGGCTGGGGGGAGGTTGAGGTTGACGCAGCCTTCGGGGAGGCTTTTCTCCTGGGACAGGCGGACGTTTGGGGCATTGCCGTGAGTCAGCATTGTGCCAGCCACCGCAATTACAACACCTGGGATCAACAACATAGCCCACACCACCCCCATTGAGGTGGTCTTTGATTTTCTGGGCACAGACAGAGGAGTGATGGTCACGTGAACAGAAGCGACATCTGGGACGATCACTTGTCGGCAGCAGGCGGTGAAGGTATGACCCCCAATGGGAGCAGATGACACAAAAAGCAGGCCCGGGGTGATAGGGTTCTGCATACAGTGGAGGGAGGACTGGGTGGGCATCAACAGTGGTTGGACACTCCCTCCCCTTCTATTTAACTATGACAGCTGCTTGTGGGGTCTTCCCTCAGTAGTGTTGACGTATACTGAGTATACGTGGATTAAAGTGACGAGTGTCTTCGACTTCAGCGTATAGGGGGAACTGTTTAACTAGGATGTGGCAACATTCCGCTGCGTCAGCAGGAGGAGGCACCCCCCGTCAAATCCAACAGTACTGAGTGTTAAATAATAATAATAAACGGTTTATTAATAGAGTTGTAGCCGGTGGCTGAAAATATACAGACTTACATTTGATTTATACGTAATGATATAATATGCATCGAGTATATTTACAGGGCTGTACAGTACATAAATCAGGAGTTGTTTATTATTTTAACAATAGATGGGATGGTGCTATTCTTATATCTATCGGTGCGGGCTCTTATGGGCTGAATTTTGTTGGAGTGGCGGACTGCGCGAGGTGGATGGGGGGCTGCCGGTGGCAGGAGGTGGCGATGACAAGGGTGGTGCAATAGTTGGCTGCCAAACCTTTTCAGTGCTTGGTGGTGGAGGTTTTTGAGGGATGGCCTTAGGTGTCTGACACCTGATAAATTTACGGTTCTTACCTTTTCGGAATTGAATGGTGAGACCGTGTTGTCTCCAATACTTTGTTGTCCAATTAAACCGGTCCTCGACGGTTTTCAGTGAGTCCTTGGTGAAGTGCAGATTTAGCTTACTTTGTTGGTTGGCAGAGGGGTGGGTGGCGAGGGGAAGCTCTCTGCCCTTGGCATTGCCACTCCGGCAAGTGTTTCCCATAGAAACATTACTGTTACTGTCACTATCACTGAGGTCTGACTCTTGCAGGGTGTTGGATGCACTATGACTATCCATATCAGAAATGTCTGTATCCATGAGAGAGGGGACGCCTCTAATGGGGCGTTTACGTCGACCCCGCCCCCTCATCGCTGGCAACACTTGCCGGCGAAGGGGTAGGTAGAGACTGAGGTGGCCTTTGTGTGACGATCAGGAGGACAGAAGCACCTATGGGCACACGTCTGTCCCCTTACGTCAGGGGTCACCAAACTACGGCCCGCGGGCCGGACCCCAAGTCCTTCCCCGGCTCGTGGTAGCTCCGCCTACGCTCTGACGTTACCAAAGCTTTCATTCTGGCTTGCAAGTATTGAACAGAATGATTATGCGGCTCGCGCTCATAATTCTTTCAGTTATCCGGCCCACTGTGAAAAAAGTTTGGTGACCCCTGCCTTACGTGGTCAGACCGCGTCTGGATGGAGGTGGATTAGTGGGTTACATATTACTAACCTGACCTGGTGCAATGCCAGGTCACCCATTACAGGTTGTACCTCTCTAGTCCGGCATTCTGTGGTCCGGAAACTCCCGTGGTCTGGAACAATTTAAGTTTGCCCCATGGAGAAAATTAATTTGAGTCTGGTACTTTCAATGTTTGGCTAAATTTGGCCTTACCCCACTTTTTTTGGCAAATTACTACCTGTAATAAAGCAAGATCCTAATAAACCAACGAAAATAACACGGATGAAGTTAAATAAAAACTTAAAACAACACAGAAAAGTTCTTATTGTTCTACTGCTTCAGCTAGAGTTGAACCTGATGACTTGGCAACTTTGTCATCTGAGTAAAAACACACACAACAACATTGGCTGTCCTTATGTTTTCAACTTTACCACCACGGGTGGGTAGAATTTTTGTTTTAAATTCAGAAACATTAATTAAATTATATATGAACAGTAAATAAGTGTTACTTTCATATTCTTATGCAGAGTAATAACGATATGTTTTCACATGTGCGCACTTACATACACTCAGTCTCACGTTTTTTCTTTACCATTAATGGTTAGCTACTTTTATTGTTCCATTTATTAACATTAAATACCATTACTTAAAACAACTATATTAATTTTTCACATTAATTTTACTACCGCTACAACCAGGGTCTTATTTTCTTCAGTTTTATATGTAGAACCAGTCGGTCACTGGTTTTGTAATCAATGAAAACAATGCTGTCTTGTCTCCTCGTGTGTTTTAATATTCTACGTATTATTAATTAATTGTAGTGTTCATTTTGCACACACATAAACATTAATTCAATCAAAAAGACATTCAGTAATAAACAATAATGAATCTTTTGTACATAAGAGAAATGACGCTGTTTACACGATTTGTGCACTTCTGAACGTTGGTGGGTCGCTGAAACCCGTCGAAATTCGAGTTTCCGCCGTCGAAATTTTAAACTGTGTAGTTTTTTTTTTGTCCAAATAAAAAACGTCGAATTAAAAACTCGCAAAATTTGAGAACCTGCTGTACAACATTTAACCCTTCAATATGTCTTCAAAGAGACCACGAAGCAGTGAAAGTGGTGCTAGTGCTTCCAAGCATAAACACAAGTCCCTATCTATCCAGGAAAAGGGTGAATTTTCATGGTCCGGAAATTTCCATGGTCCGGCACCGGTCAGGTCCCGAGGTTGCTGGACTAGAGAGGTACAATCTGTATATATAAACTTCTCTCATTTGCAGACAAAAGTTACAGTGCTCTAGTGTTTCCCACTTACTGAATGTACATTACAGTATATATATCTGTAATTACTTTTTACATCTTAACACTATTCTTGGCTGATAGTGTCCTTGTACATACAGTACAGTAATGTAGAGCATTGCACAACACAAATTGTATGCAAAAACAGCAGCTAGTTAGAGAACAACCTTCTACAGTGGCTGCAGACTATAAACTAAGTTATCCAAGCAGCAAGGCCACCTGTCCAGAAATTCATATTCCACGCTGCTCCAACTCGGCAGCCATGTTTTGACGTCATGACCCTTCACCAGAGGTGGAGTGAGTGAGTGGGGAGGAGAAAATGATTATTTTTTAAGAGGTTAACAAATAAAAATCGTTTTTGTAATATTTCCTGTCTAAACAATGTTAACATTTTTGGTAAATGTGTGAAATGCGAGTGTTTTTCTTCCAGCAATCCGTACTAATAAAATGTGTTTTGTGCCTTCTACTTATGAGTTTTTGTGTCTTAACTTTGCTTAAATTATAAGTGATATATTAGACTATTTTTCTGATTGAAATTGGGGAGTGAAGAGGCCAAAAGGGGAGGGGGGACTTTGGCACGAGCTTCTGAATGAACAAGTACCTTTTACAAGTAAACATATATTGCGAATTCCACGTTCATTAGTTCCGGTGCGGGATCCCCAGAATGAAACGGTCGCAAAACTCGCGAGGCCACTGTAGTTGAGAATGAATTTTGGTATTTTGTTCAGCAGAAATACATTTGTATATGCCAATTTGTTGTTCAACATTTTTGCTTAATAGATTGAGGTTGGAGAGGACGCTCAAGAGGAGTATGGTTGGAAGCTGGTCCATGGTGACGTGTTCCGGCCACCCCGTCGTGGGATGCTCCTCTCCGTTTTGGTGGGGTCTGGCACTCAGGTGTTCATCATGACTCTCGTCACACTGTGTATGTTTGATCATATAGTATATACTGAAGGTCTGTTTTATTGTTATATTTTGAAATATAATTTATTATACTGTATATTCAGTAAGTCGAGTATTTGTGTTTACTCTTGATTAAGATCACAAGATATTATAGTAGTTATACTATTGAAGGAGTGGAAAAGAAAAAAAGTATGGCAGGTGCTCAATGGATCTGTTACAGTATCCATTATGAACTGCATCAGTTGGCTTAGTGAATACCATATTAGACTGACTGACTGACAAACTCATTCAATGTGTGAACTTTAATTTCAGTGTTTGCTTGCCTTGGTTTCCTTTCCCCTGCCAACCGTGGTGCTCTCATGACATGTGCAATGGTTCTTTATGTGTGTCTCGGATTCCCCGCCGGTTATGTTGCCGCACGTCTCTACAAGAGCTTTGGTGGAGAAAAATGGAAAACAAATGTCCTCTTAACCTCCATGTTGTGCCCTGGGTAAGTAGGCAGTTATACTACTAAATTAGTTTAGTACTGTATTGGTCATTCTTGCAAATGATAAGAACTAAAGTAAGGAATCTTGCTCTGTATTTTGTGAGAAACAACTCCACTACTTTAAAGTAGTCCTTGTGATTCATTTATTATTGTTGAGTAGGTATTTTTTATTCATGTTTGAATTATTTCACCCCAGAATTAATTTTTTATTCCGTTAGAGAAAAAATTATTCAAATCTACCAAATCTTATTCTACTGATGAAGTAAGTGAGCTTTCTTAAATTTGTTTGTACTTACACCAATTACAACAAAAATGGGTTTATTATGCAGCCATACTGCACCTACTGATTTGTGGGTCAAAGTCAAACCTAAGTCACTACCATTTGCCCATATTATCCATATATATCACAAACCTACATTTTGAGGTTTATTGTTTACTTGTTAAGAAGCAGAATGACAATACGGTCAGATCTCTTAGTTTCATATGTTATTTGAGTTAAAACCATCTATGTTTTATCTATAAAAAGTTATAAGAACATCTACAGAGTCATTATCATACCCTAGGAAGCTGTCCAATAACATTTATATGATAGTAATTGACACTGTCAGGAAAACGTCTATATTGGCACCATGTTATAATGACCTTTAATGGTTTAATCTACCAAGACACTTCTTTGGAATGTAGCTTTTTGTTGTAAGAGATCTGCTTGAATATACAGTATTAATATAAGGTGAACTTTTCAGAATTCTGTTTGACATGTTTTTTATCATTGAACTAAACATTTCAGGATTGTGTTTGCCCTGTTTCTCATGATGAACTTGATACTATGGTACAAGGGATCAAGTGCTGCTGTTCCCTTCACCACATTGCTGGCCCTTCTTGCTCTGTGGTTCCTTGTATCTGTACCACTCACCTTTGTGGGATCCTTCTTTGGGTATAGGAAGAGGGTAAGTTGATTTCTTTTGTCTGCAGGAAGTCTGATGTTTCTCTTCCCCATGAAGGATGAAACTCAAACATATACAGTATACATCTATATAGTCTTTTAAATACAATATAACCTCATTGGTACATGCAGAGGGCTGAAGCTTTAAAAGTGGTCGAGTGTTCTACATTATTTCATAGATAATAAGTTGAAACAGACTAGATAATTAAACTATCTTTTGTGGATGAGGTTCACTCTGGAAGAAATCTAACATCCTTGATGATTTTTAACTAATTCCACTTGTGAAAGATCGACTTTGGAATAAAACAGCAATTTATCTTTTCTATCAGTGCAGCTATTTACACTTTGGTTTTTGTGAAATAATGAAAATTTTATTTCCACTATTTGCCACTTGAGAAACAAAGTGTATGAAAAAAATTTCATGTAAATTTTAGTTTCATCGCAGATCAGAGTTTTCATAATTTAAGATACAGGAAAAGGGTGAGGGAAAAAAGCCATTCGATGATTTGTCTAAGTGTGAATGAAGGGACGGATTAATTGTATTGAGGATAATTTGTTAGAAATGTTGAGCATGGCAGTGTGATGTCAAATATGCTGAGTGTGGCAATATGAATTCAGATATTCTGTAGTTATGCTAAGTACAACAGGAAGTTCAGGGATCAGTGATTATATTCTTAGTAACAATAGTGCGTGGATGACTGGAAGCTCTACAAAATACCAAATTAATTTATTGTTGAACAGTCCTAAATATTTAATCTCAGGTCATTGATGTGTGTAATCTGTCAGTGCTGAATTAGGTTCAAAATTCTTTAGCTGAAATACTGTACTGTAAAATGAGACCATCAGGTCAGATTGATCGGGGATGATAAGGGAGCAAGGGCATTTGCTTTTGTGGTGGGCAGATTTTTAGTGTGTAGTTTATTCATAAAGAGTTTTTGTTTATTTAATATTTGTTCATTTATTTTCAGTGCTTGGAGAATCCAGTACGGACCAATCAGATTCCTCGGCAGATCCCCGAACAGAGTATTTACACCCAGCCACTTCCTGGCATCATTATGGGTGGTGTCCTTCCCTTTGGCTGCATATTTATCCAACTCTTCTTTATTCTTAACTCCATCTGGTCATCACAGACTTACTATATGTTTGGTTTCCTCTTTCTGGTGTTCCTCATTCTGATTGTCACCTGCTCTGAGACAACTGTGCTGCTCTGCTACTTCCACCTGTGTGCTGAGGTAATTCTATTGTTTAGATCTAAAATGTAATAAATTTTAGGAATGTTAAAGCCTTAGCTACTGTGGGAAAGGAACATTACTGTGATCACAACTGTTATAGGAATGAATGGTAGTGGGAGAGACTTAAAAATATTTCTTTATAGTCTGCCAAGTTGAATATAATGATCCTGTCATTCCCATGGAGCTTGATGTAAGTTCAGAAAAGTTAAATCCCTCCTAAAAATGACTGTATTTATGTATGATTAAAAAAATCATATGAAGGGCGTGAATGTTGTTATAAGCCATATTTCCTTGGTAATAGGGAAAGTCAAGTGGATGCTGATGCCATCCTTGTACAGATTTAAATATTTTTGTTGATCACACTTGTTTTATGTATGATGTGGCAATTATTCCATTAATTTTAATATTGACACAAGATTACATAACATTATTTTAACGTATCCTTTCCTGAAAAGTAACGCACGTACAGTGAGGTTGGATGTCTGATCACTTTGCTGCAGTTCATGTACTCAGTATTTTGTTTTATACACTTAAGTTAACTGTAATGCCCTTAAATATTCACTCTCACACTCATTCTGTGTACAGTATTTACTCATTTTGTACTAGATTGTGAATTGGTCACCATACCCTCATCTCTCAAAATGGAAGTGGTCAAATTTCTCCATAACTGATACAGGGGGTCCTCATTATAAGTGGTTAATAGGGACCAGAAAAAAGCCACTGATAATTTAGAACCACATATAAAGGGAAATTGTTTCCCATAAGAATTAATAGGAATAAGGTCTAATTGGGACTGTCACATTGTAAGTGACACTCATAAAGATTAATTTGGTATCTTTTAACAGTTATATATACATCTTAGAAAAAATTTTGGAACATTTGATTACATATTATTTTATGGAAGTATTTAACTTTACAACTCCAACGCTCATTTCAGTGAAAGTGGTTCATTAATACATGCTCACCATTTTTATTACAACATATAACTTCTAATTTCATGTCCATCCCATAGCTACTACGCCTCCTTTTAGCCACTGCACCACCTTGCTTCAGTTTGAAACTGATGGCTACAAAAATAGTTCACCAATGTCACCAAAGACATAACAAAGTTGATAATTATAGTTCTTGGAGCACTTAAAAATAATGCCTGTGGACACAGGCAACTGCTACTGAGGTGGGTGGGAACTTCAATTTTTCAAAAAGTTAAGACTGATTTCAGCCTTATGATCCTCTTAACTGCGGGGACTTTTTATATCACCACTTGGTGCAAAACCACATGTAACGAGGACCCCCTGTTTAAATTAATACTTATTACCTTCCGCCTCACCTGGGCAACCTGCTTATACTGTATATGGGAAGACCCATGAACAGGTTAAGTTAAATTTTAAGATGTTTTTGAGGAGCTTTGGTGTGTTTTAATGCACTTCATATTATGGTTTGATTTTCAATGTATCCTCGAGGCCAAATATTTAATTTTATTGTTATTGCTCACCTTGTGTGCTCTCTGAAAATTTATTTATATATTTTTTCTTCTCTTTTTCAGGACTATCATTGGTGGTGGCGTAGTTTCTTAACATCAGGATTCACTTCATTTTACTTATTCCTTTACTGTGTTCATTACTTCGTTACCAAGCTGAGCATAGAGGGTGTGGTATCCACCATGCTCTACTTTGGGTATACAGCAATCATGGTCTTCCTTTTCTTCTTGCTCACAGGTATGAAACTTTTCCCTGGTAAGCATATACTGTATAGTACATTAAGTTTATCGTGAATTAAATTTTATCATGAATTCCTTGGTTGTCTTATGCCATGACAAAGATATAGTGAGTGGTGGTTGATAGCCCAGGCTTTAGAAATGACTAAAAGGAAATAGCCACAATTCTTATTCTCTTCTATTACAACTCATTTTCCTAAAAACAACTAAAATAGATATGAATTTATAATTAGGCTTGATTTAGAGAATTTAAGATGCAATCATGTATGTTTTCCACTTGTTATTTCAACCTCTTGCTACACTTGCACCTCCCAACCTCCTCCCTTTTATTTGAATTTTCTTTACTTTTTGATCACACAAAGGTAGGGATAAAGTTAATAGATACCATATTTTGACGAATATACAGTAAGCCACACTTAAAAAAAAAGAGAGAGACAAATTTTGGGGTGTTACAATATAATATAAAAATTTTAGTTGTGCCTCAAAAGTATCTAAGTGTTACTGTAAGTTCGCATTTTACAAACAGCATTCACCTATTCATCAATCGCGTTACAATTAATTCGCGTTGACAAAACACGCGTTGTAGCAGAAATGACTTTATATATCATAATAAAAAGATATTATTATTTTTATGATAAATTTAAGAGGGTATTGTACAATAGAACTTAAACACGTGTTCCTATTATTGATGTCTTGGAAGTGAACAGTTATACTTTATCCTCTTCGCCACTGATACGCACTGTTGGCAGGTACTGGCTTCAAAATTTATCTGTCTATGTCAGTGTTGGTCCAGTCTGGTCTTGATGAGGTCATACTTAGTGCCATCACAATACAGTTACTGCCCTTCTAATATCCTAATTTTATGTAATTTGGAACATGGAAACATTAGAAAGTTGTTATTGACTTTTGACATATATTAAATAATATATTATCAAGCCACCATGAAAGTGTGTGTGGCAACAAAGGTATGCATTATGTTAACGGTAATATACACTTGCTCTATGGTAACTCAATGATATTACTGTATAGCAAGTTATGGCTCTCGGGTTGGTATGTATTTTTTCTGATATGACTTGAGTAAAAACGTAATCCATGCAGTAAAAAGATCTTTTATAAGTGGTGTTTGGGGTTTTTAACATTCACTGAGCTATAAATTTTTATTTATTTTTTATTTTTTTACTGGAGAAGGAATATTAAAGACCTGTGGATTTTACGGTCCGTCACCTAATACAAATGTTGCGAACGTTTCTGAGCTTTATCTCATAAAGAGTGGAATTAGACAAGACTATGGAGGGTCGCTAAGGGAAGAATTTAGTACATGGCCAGGCGTACTGGTTTCATTTTGCTCCAATACTCTTAACTGGTGAAGGCATATCCAGTATGATGAGGAATGTCACTTTTGAAGCAGATTTTTTTAGTTCTTTTTTCTTTCCTTTTTTTTTCAGGAACCATTGGCTTCGTCGCCTGTTTCTGGTTTGTACGAAAGATCTACAGTGTAGTGAAAGTGGATTAGATCTCAGAACCAAAATGGTTGTTGTTGGAGTGTGTTGTCGTCATTCGGTAAGTGCAGCTAGATATTTTACACGTATTATCAAACTGATTTGGCATGATATAAAACAGATTTAAATCAGCAATTTTTGACATGTTGATATTTTCATAGTACGTACCTTTTTAACTTTTCTTCAAGCTTCATCATAACAAATCAATGACTAAATATAGCAACTATGAGCAGTAATTATGGATATAAACCTTTGGATATACTGTAAACTGAAAACTTTAATCCCCTTTGTAGTTTCCATGCTATGAATGTACATTGCAGTGCAGTATTTGGAATATATTCTCAAAAGCAAATCATCTTAATAATAATTATTTAATAAATAAAGTACTGAGTGTAAGTACATAAGTTCCAGGAGTAATTAGGAAGAAAGATTTAATAACTTGAATACCATGAACTACACTTAATTACCATTACAGTAATTTATGATATATTTTTTATGGAATTAATTTTTTAAATACAGTACAGGTAAACCTCGAGATACGATATCCCGAGATGTGATATTCCGCTTTAACTGTGGTTATAAATTAACACCATCTCGCCATATAGGGTCAAAACAACTCGCTTTAATGATATCCATTGGTCGGAATTATGTTTTTTTTCTCTTTAGTGCAAAGTATGAGATGTATTTAATCAAATTATTCGCTGTCTTGCAAGGATTCCGGCAACGCAAATAAAATTTTTCTACATCAAGTCAGTGACATTTTATAAGGAAATAATATTTAACCCGATGCATGACACATCTCTGCCTTCACTTTTAAGCCTACCCATTTGTTGCCTCAAGGCCAACCCGTGCACTACAGCCCTGTGTTTGGTTCTTTGTCGATTGTAAACCCGCCATCGATGTGTCGATTCTTGTTTTGAAAATGTCAGCCGCCATTCATTGTTTTAGTTATCATCGTTTGCTCTGTTTTTGTGACTGTGAAGTGAGCAGTGTAACTTTGAAAATGTCTGGGAAGGCCAAGGCATCCAAGACAACCATGTCTCTGAGGTGAAGCTTGACATTGTTAAGCAGCATGAGACTCCCCAGAGGTTGTGTGGAAGTCAGAGTGACATCTCCACTCCACCTACAAGAGTCCCCTTAGCCTCGAAGGGGACATGTGATGATGACCAGAGGCTAAGGGGACATGTAATAATGACCAGAGGCTAAGGGGACATGAGATGATGACCAGACTTGTCAAATATGATGTGGCGAGTTGTTTTATTGTTTTGTACAGATAGTAGTAGTGTAGGAATTTTTTTGTTGGTGATTCATGTGTGTTTGGGGACTGGCTGGGAATATATCCCTTTGAACCGGTATGTTATAAGGCTCCCTATTTATGATAATTCACCTGACGATGGGTTTTTCAGGAACATAATCCCATTGTATCTCGAGGTTTACCTGTACAACATGTTTAATATTTGTATGAAAAAGCTGTGTTTTGAAGTAAGTAATGGTGAAGGGAGGGAAAGTTAATGGAGAGTGACAAGTTTAGGCTAACAACCAGTGCAGTAGAGTAGTGTTAAAAATGTACCCTTAAAATAAAAAGTACCCAAAAGGTGGCAACTGTGTAAGTGTAAAAAATAAATGGCAACAGTGTACCGAAGACTTGACTACTGACAGTTATATGAAATGTTAATGTTTTATTAATTCTTAGAAAGAACTTATATTCCCTAGCACCCATTATTATTATTTTCACAATATTCCTGTTACAGAATAGCTAAAATAATGTATTCAAATAATGAAAAATCTGGAGTGGGCAGCTTTATTCATTGGTATTTTTTATGTCTTTTCAAATGTACTGTATTTGATTTCTGTACACTCGTGATTTCATTATGGCATGATATTTTTTTTACATTTATGACATGATTTAAATCAGTCTTCCCATAAATAATTTTTTATATGCTTTTTTCCAACCCTGTTATCAAATACTGTATTTACAAATTGAAATAGTTTTGGAACTATTACAGGTTGGAAGCATTGCTCTTCTTGCATTTATAGCTCTGATGCAAATTGAAATACAATTACGTATAATAATAAGACTGTAAGTCCCACTATAGAAGTAGAACACAGAAAAAGTGAGACTGTATATTTTAACCATAACCCCTGGTTGAAATACACAGTGCTCTCACTTTTCTGTACTTTATCTTTTACAGTGGGATTTCAGTGTTAAGATTTACCTGATGTAGTGTTGCATAGTTCTTGAAGAAGATTTTGTGGCGATAGCAGCAGGAAAAAAATTAAATTGCATGAGAGAGTTATTGTTGATCTTGTAGGCTTGTAAGAAGAAAAGCTTATTATGGAAAGGTTCTGTATGCTTGCAATGGTGTGAAAAGTTCATTTGTCTGGATCATAGCTTATATATTAACTTGGAAGTTCATGATAAAACTTTACAGGAATAAATGTCAACAAATTGGAAAGTACAAAATGTCTTAATTAAGTGTTTGTGTTGAAGGTCAAAGTCACAGCTGAAGGTCTAAAGGGAAGGTTAATGTATTTACCACAGCAGCATTGTTTATTTATGGTGCCTGTACAGCATCTCCTGTCTAATATTACCTACTTATTTACTTCTTCATTTTTACTGCAGACTGACTCCGCCTTAGCAGTTCGAGGAGAGAGTGGGACTAAAGTAATCTTTTTTGCATAGTAGCAAATTAAACCCCATAGAATAAGGGAAAGATAATTCAGGTATCAAATATACCATGGATGATCTGCAACTGTATTAAGAAAATCTTGGATAATTGTGGTTATGGGCATTAATGATTAATTTACTTGCTATTGTACTGACTTGGTATGGATTACAGCTAAAGCTATATTAGAAAAAGTCGGGAGTTGATCTAACCTCTCTGAGTCATTGGCTGTCTGTTTAACGATGTAAGTGTGACTCAAGGGGACGTGAGGCACCAACTTTGAATTTATTGTGTTAGATATAAATGTAAAGTCTTGTGTAAAACTTTTCTTTTACTTTTAGTAAAATAATTTTTAGATGTTGCATAAGCTTTTCTTAATGCAGTGACCAAATTGCTGGCATTATTGATGAATGGTACCCTTTTTATTTTATTTCTATTATCTTCCTTTTCTCTCACTTATGTTTAGGGTAGATCAAGGGTTACAGAAACCACAAAGAAAAAATGGAACTGATAGAGTACATTGGTGCAAGACAAGTCTATGAACTACGGGAACAGGCTGGGATGGCAAGTCATTATTTCCACATACAGTATATTAACTGTCCTCATTTCACAGACTATACATATTAAAGTTGCTCCCCTTTGATTGAATCTATTATTGTATTCTTTTGCTGCATGCTCCCTTAAATTATCAGAAACTGAACATCTTATACATGCACACTATTGTATTATATTTATGAGTTTGAAAAACTTATAGTACACAAAGTTTTTAAGATTTTAATAGATCAGCTACATCGGATAGTCATGAAAGAAGAGATCTCATAGTTGGCAAAGAAAATATTTTGAAGTTCATCATAGATATCAAATGTTTAGTATCAGTATTCCTTAAGATAAGCCTGAGTGATTAGCATACTGTTTAGGCTAGTACCATGAGTGCTTTAAAGAAATTTCTGCAAAACAACATTTTTTTTTTCTTTTGTTATTTTCTGGCAAGGAAATAGATCCTCATTACGAAAGAGGTTAAGTACAGATGTCCAAGGCCTTGAGAAACTTTACCCACTTCTGATTATATTAAATGTAGTTTGCCAGTATCCAGAACTGTACCTGAATTTTTGGTTGAGGAATGGAATTAAACACCCAGTTGCCAAGACTACTCACACAAGATGAGTAACTCCTCCAATAGTCGGTTCAATCTTAAGTAAACTGTTACCTTGATGTTACAGTACAGTAATTGTAAAGCAAGCAAGGCCTTTGTTACTTAATCAGGCCTCCATTTTATCTTCACAGTAAGATGTAACTGTTATCATTTGCATATTATTGTGGCATTGAAAGCCACTTTGCAGTTATTCAGATTTTTATTTATTTATTTATATATATATTTTTTTAGGGGGTGGGCTTCATGTAAATTACTCATCTTAATTATCTAGTAGCTGTACAGTATTTAGATTATTAAAACTGATGAAAATGAAGTTTGCTAGTTATCCCTCCCTGAATATTTCTCTTATATTTTTACTGTACAATATTATCCTTTTTAGCATTTTTTATATTCATTTCTTTATGTGGAGAGGAGAGTTTGTTTCTGTAAAATGATACAATTTATCTCCTTTTGTTATTATTGTACCATATTCTGAAGTAATGCTTAAAGCTATAGGAAGAATCTTCTGGATCAAGGATATTTTGTTGTAGAGATGGAGTCTTGTATGATGTATCAAATATAGTTAATTTATTATTCAAATAACTATAAATTTTATTCATTTTTCCCCTCATCTGAGGTAGAAGCAATATCCAGAGTATGGGTAATGTGTAAAGAAGATGTAATTTTAGGTATTGGTTCTCTGATTTACTTAAGGCAGTAAGGCACTTGTTAAACTGTTAATGTAAGATACTGAATTTCAAAGTACTGAATGGAATTTGAGAAGCATTGAGATAAAGGATTTGTATAGTTGCACAAACCATAATATTATCATAAAGCTGTTAGTCATTAATTAACATGAATTATATTATGAAATAACAGCCCATTACATAGGAAATTGTCAACTGGTGGTTAGTGAGCAATTCTTTCCTCAGACATGTGTGAATTTAGGAAGTTGTTGACTATTAGTGAACAGTTCCTCTTCTGAATAAGTGTAAATGAGCTTGAGTGTGTTTGTTGAGAGTAATGATTACCCTTGCTCTGTTTCTGGCCATTGTAATATTCTTTAATAAGTGTGGCTGGAGAGGCATGTGCATACTTGTTTGCTTGCACTCTGTGATTGGTGGTTTTGTACATACTGGTATTTAAATTTTGTCCTTTTTTTTCCATTTCAGCACGAGTGATTACTACTGTTTCATATATTTAAAGTGGTCCTTCAACTCGCATAATTGTTTATACAGTAGTACCCTGATTTACACGGTCAATTGAACCCACGGGGGTACCTAGGAAAGTGAAAACCGCGTAAAGTGAACAACAGAATATATGGGATTAATTCCAATAGAGATTGGCCCGACCACCAAACTCCACTTTTTCCGACACAATACCTATGTTGTAGTTTTAGGTAAACCAATTATTGACAGAGCTAGATTAGATAATTTAATGCGTAGTCTATGAAATAGAGAGTATTCAAAATGATCATCATATTACTAAAAATGTAAATATACTATTTTCTCCCAATCCCTTCTCTAGTAGGGAGGGAGGGAGGGACCGACCCAGCTAGGGTGGAGTATTTTGATTGACAGTTAGTGTCCTTGAAGAATATTTCTTTTTTTTTATTAACTGAAGATATTTGTTTTAGCTCATAAAATTCATACAAATTACCCGGCCAGAATATAATTTACATTGCTGGAATTTTTACAATATGATGATCATTTTGAATATAAACATCATGGATTTTGCATTAGACATACAAATTTTAGATCTAAAGTAATAATTTGGGTTACACAAAGCAAATATTTTATCTTTTGTGCACAATATATGAAGTTTACATTCAAAATATTCCCTGACCTGCAAGGAATCCAGAAATGTCAATTATATTATCCTAACTTTAGTCTGAGGTATTATTTATTAGTAAATGTTAAAATCTAGAGTTTTCACCCAAACATTAATCAGAGAGGTAGGAGCTAGTGAGCTGGGAAGAGGGGATTTGAGTCCATTATTTGAATGGACATTAACCTGGCGACTGTATTTCTCTTAAATATTAATTGTGTGAGCATACCATCATAAAATTTAGATGTTATTTTTACTACAACATAGGCATTGTGTCGGAAAAAGTGGAGTTTGGGGGTCGGGCCAGTCTCTATTGGAATTAATCCCATATGTTCTGTTCACTTTACGCGGTTTTCACTTTCCGCGTCAATTGACCGTGTAAATCTGGGTACTACTGTATATATATATATATATAATTATTATTAATTTTGTTTTTTTGGGTGAACAATGGCTGTAAAGCCTCTTTGGATTTGTGGAAATCAGAAAATGGTGTATGTGATATAAGCTTCCTTATATTTCCTAAACTCTCAAACGCCACATAATGTTTTCTTGTGTACTGTACATATCCCGGTGGTTTACAAAGCATTTTGTCGGTTCTCACTGTTGGCTTTCCAGACATCACAGACTTGGACAGAACCCCTCCTGGGTGGTAGCTTATTTATTTATTTTTAGCTATTTTATGGTAGGAAGTTATTACCAATCGTGGTCTGGTACTTGGTTCATTTTTTGCCATAGACCTGGGAATGTAGTACAGCCTCTGTAGATATTAAACAGCCTTTGCATGCATGAGGTTGATTCAGACATGTGTATACATGTGCAGTGAGCAACAATGTGCAATACTAACCAAACATAGCCTATCAATAGGTTTATTGTGGTTGATTTGTATCTGCTGTCATCATGGGTTATTTTGTTTACAGTTTGTGTGCCATACACAGCTCTATAGTATAAATAAGTGGAGAGTCAGAACTGGATTGATAGCTATAGCCCTTTTTGTACACTGTAGTATGTGCTGCCCATTGGGAAGAGAGGCTTATGAATCAAACTTATATTTTCTGGTGACCATTGCTTCCAGCATTTGTCAGTACATTTGGAGAAATTTGGGTGGCTGCATAGTCATTGTAGATAATTATAATTCCAGTGAAGGTGTAGAGTATTAGGAGATCCTTGGAATTTAGGTGCTGTGTGCTTTATACCATTGCCAGAAGTAATTTGCTGTTTAAATGGCAACTAGTAGTGACATTTGTGTTGGCTACGATATAATCTTTGACATAAAACAGAAAGAAGGTTAAAATTTGTTAGAGTTGTAGAGATTGCATTTTTTATTATATATATATATATATATATATATATATATATATATATATATATATATATATATATATATATATATATATATATATATATATATATATATATATATATATATATATATATATATATATATATATATATATATATATATATATATATATATATATATATATATATATATAATACAGTGACCTCCGTTAATCTAACTCAATCTGTTCCAGAAGGTCGTTTGTTAACCGAAAGTTCGTTAACTCAAAACCATTGTTTCCAATGGGTTTTGGGTAATTGGTTCCAGCCTCACCGAAAATTTCCTAAATTCAACAAAAATGGTAGAAAAGTTCACTTACTTTGAGGTGTGTATGTAGAAGGCTCCTGGATGATGATGATGGGATTTAGAATGGGGGTGGAGGAGAAGGAAGAAGAGAAGGCACTGGGGTGGAAGAGAAGTCACCCCATGGTGCCATTTCACCCATAAAATTTTCGCTCTCTTTGTGTAATTCAAGATTATTTTCTTTAAATCAACACTGCACTGCATTATATATTGTCAATATGTAAAATATATTTCAAAATGACCAATAATTTGCTTGGAACACAGAAAAAAAGCATTTAGTTGAAGAGAGCCTCAAGCAAGATGTTACCTCCAGTGAAAACAGAGACTAACTCCTGTTTGCTGTGTTAAGAGGCTGGATGCCGCGCATTAAACTAGTCACTTTACCTTCAATTATGTTCAATAATTGTTAAAATGATTAAAAAATTGAATATTAAACTTTTAAAATTATTGAATAGTATAAATTTCTTGATATTTACTAAAATAGTAAGGAATTTAAGCCCTAGAACCGATTAATGTATTGGCGGACTGATACTAAAGCTGGTTGCCCGGTCAGTGCAAGCGAAAACATGTTGAGGTTGGTTCGTAAGAACTTCATTAACCGAATTTTTTTTTCGTTAACCGAATTGAAGATCCTTGTGGAAGGCAGTTCGTTAATCGAAATTACGTTAACTGAGGTGTTCGTTAAACGAGGGGTCACTGTATATATATATATATATATATATATATATATATATATATATATATATATATATATATATATATATATATATATATATATATATATATATATATATATATATATATATATATATATATATATTGAGTGTTGAGATGCAGTGATTTGATGCTTTTTTCATGCGTTTTGTGGCTCATCTTGTATAAAATATCTCCGGCATTTAATACGTTTTAAAAATATTTATCATGGGTAATGGTAACCCATTGTTATATTGCACTGACCTTACCATGTTTAGATATTTCAAAGTTAGTACCACAGTATGAAATGGCATTGAGTACAGTATACTTTAAGACAACCGTATTAATAAAACCTTGAATTCATTAGTTGATATGTGCATACACTGTGTCCACATATGACACCCAGCTGTTAACCCAGTGGGTGGGTGTCTCATGGAGCTCTCATATTCCAATCTTGGTTTTAAGTGCTAATAAATCACTAGTACACCTTCCAAGAATAACTAAATCTCTTACCTTTGAACTAATAAATTGGGTACTGTGTTTATCTCGGTTATAATGAAAACAGTCTTGATATTACCTCTCCGGGAAATATAATTTCAGCTGAAATAAATTTAATTGTGTGTGAATGTAATTGTTCAAATATTAATTTAGTTTTTAATGTAAAAATGCAATGAGGACTAGCTGAAGAAATTGCAATGCCATTTTTTTTTATCTCCCATTTGTACTTTTGGTTTGAGAAATCGATAAGCCGTGATCATTACATTTTAACAGGTTATTGCTATGCATTAATATTTTAATTTTTTCACATAATGTAATGCTCATCGGTGATATGTATCAAAAGTAGATCACATTCCTATTTCTACACTGCAATCCGTCACTTTTACGATGGCCATTTCTTCTGAATATTTTTGTAAAAGTTTGATGATAATATATTAATGATTATCATGATTGTTTGTTTATTCCTCTAATTCTCTTGTGCTAAGTCTGTAACACTATTTATTCTTATATTTCTCATGTCATTTGTCCCTTGGGAATAGGTAAGATCACAGTAATACGTCACATTCATCAGCAGCATCACCATTTAACGGCCAATTTCTGCAATTGCAGGAATTAGCCATGATTACCTGATGGCACTTCTAGTTCTCCATGCTGCCCCTTGTCAAGTTCTTCATTGTGATGACATTTCTTACCACCTCTCCCCATGTCATTCTTGGCTTGCTCCTAGCTCTGACCCACTCCATCTAGACTTGTGTTGTACATCTCTTAACCCAGTTGGTCTCCTGTAAACTCTCCAAATACCCAAATCAAACTCAGTCTACCTTTACATAAAACCTTGCCAAAACTTTTGAATATTATTGTGTCCAGGGCTTATTAAGAAAAGAAAACTTGTATCCTGGAAATTCACGCAAGATCACCTTTATTGGTGTTTGTAATTTTATATATGTATTACTTGTGACGAGATAAGCCATCAAGAACGACAATATTGTACAGTATTTGCATTCTTGACCCATTTCCGCCCTTAGTTGTCTTGAGCCGGCTGACCACTAATCTGTTCTCTGTCAATGAAAATCCCCGGTGGCAGGAATTTATATTAAAGCTTTCTTCCGTCTGAAATAACTACCGTTTAATAGTCGATCTTCTGGTCTCGCCCTGAGAACTCCTTCATTGCTTGTTTAACTCGGTTGGTTACTGACAGCCAAGTGTGGTTATTCATTTGGTTATACATTACCTCTCCCATTTATTTTGTATTTCAATTGTTTGTTTCTTTCGGTAGTTTTGGTATAGGGGTTTGTGTTTTGATAAAGCAATACTCATCTCTTTTATCTAACATTCAACCATATTGTTTTTGTTAACATGATTTTATACAAAATGCAACCTTAGATTTATCTCCCCCTTATTGTTGCTGTACAATTTAAAGAATTATGCTGGTAAATAAAAGCAACGAATTATTTAAGTCTCGCTACAAGTTAAAAGAATATGTTAACTTTTTATGGCATTGATTGAGAGGTTTGCCTAATACTGTACAAAAAGTTCTCCAGTTATCCAAAGCCTCTAAAATTAATGAAATTCAGAATTTAGGTAAAGTTTTCAGTTACATAACATCCTAAATATCAATTATAAAGAATGAGGTCCATTATTGCCTTGTGATGTATAAGTAGCCGTAGATCAAATGAGCATTCTTGTAGATGTTCAAATATATCGTATTGTGAAATATTGACCTTGAGTCACCTTTACTGATGACATTCATAAGTGTTATTGGGCAAAGTTTGTCTTCCTGGACCACATGACGATTGCCACCCTTTGCTTATTTCACTATGATTAACATACTAATGCTACCTGGGGGTTAGAGTAGGTTGGGCTTAGATTAGGTTAGGTTAGATCCATCTCGTCTTCAATCAGTTGTTTATTAATCTTATAGTAGTACATCATTGGACACCCGTCAAAAATATAGAAAGGCTGATTACTTCTAAAATAACATACTTTACAAAAACTAAGCTTCTGTTTATGTAAGAAAAGTCCAACTGTTTCCTAATACCCTGTACTATATATAAAAAAGAATTAAGAAAACAGACATGAAAGACACTCTGTATTTATTTTTTTCAGGAAAGTTTTATTTCGACATTAATACTGAATATAAATATTTTGTTACACAAAGGTATACGTATGTACTGTAGTGCAAAGGACCTACCTTTCATGGTAATATGCAGTACATAATTTTTCTGTGACTACGAAGGGGTACTTAACAGGTTTAGTCATTTATTTGCCACCTTCAGTAACAAGTAATTATAAGTGATATTATTTTAATAAACCATTAACCATTTGTAACAATGAAATTTTCAAACAAGGCTGCTTGCATTTCATAGGAAACAAAAAAATTTATTTAAATGCAAGAATAAAAACAGTACATTACTGTACTACACATTTACAAATTAATCAACTGTAAATAAATTCTCACTTGTATAAAATTATTTACTCTATTTATTGGGGCAAGACTTTTATATATGCACTGTACTGAATAATTGTATAAAATAAGATTTTTTGGTTATTTCACTTGTCACAAAATGAATCTGGAATTTTATAGTTGAAATTGGTAATTTTGACAATTATAAGACTTTTCTTCAATGGCATTTCTGGCACAAATTACAGGTATATGCGAGATATTTAGCATTTTATTATGTACAGTAATGTATATTCATAAGTGGTGGTACACACAAAACATCAAGCAACTGTGAAGCCCCCCTGGTTAGGTTAGATTCAATTCTATGTTTTTCAGATGTTTTTTTGTGTTTTGAACACTTTGTCTTGATTTTTATAGCAAATCTTTAGATTCTGAGATGGGAGGGTTTATTTCAGAAAATATTAATTTGTGCCAGAATTGAAGGTCAAATTCATTCATAACACATCAAAAACCATTGGAAAAAGTTTAAATTTTGATTTCATTTAATGGCAACGAGTGAAAATTTACCGAATTTTCAATAATCACTTCTATAATACAGTCGACCCTCGTTAATTCGGACCCCTTTAATCCAGATTTCGGACAAAATCTGAAACTTTTTTTTATTTATTTAGTGTACAGTAGTATCCCGCTTAACGCGGTCAATTGAACCCACAGGGTACCGCGTTAAGTGAAAACCGCGTTAAGTGAACAACAGAACATATGGGATTAATTCCAATAGAGACTGGCCCGACCCCCAAACTCCACTTTTTGACGACACACAACTATGTTGTAGTAAAAATTTTATCTTAACTTTATGATGGTATGCACACACAATTAATAATTAAGAGAAATATCAATAATATTAGGTTTTTTAACACTTGCATTAGTAGAAAAGATGGCTGGGCACACGGGGATGGGGGGTTGGTTCCGAGGCAGAGGGCAGATTATTGGCCCTCACCTGTATCACTTGTATCAATTGTATCACTATCCACCACAGAGGCTTGCAGGGCCTCTTTGTCAAACCCCTCAAAGGCCATATAAGTCCATATCCTCACTATAATTATCACTATCACTGACTTGGGCCGGCTGTGGTGGGTGGCGGGTGAAGAACTCGGTAATGTTTTGATGACTGGGCGACCTTGTGCGCATCGTGCCCGCGCCGCTTCCCGCATATATGATGAAAAATTCCGCGTTAAGTGAAAGTTCAGCTCTGGCGAGGCACCGCGTATATGATAAAACGCGTTAAGTGAAACCGCGTTAGGCGGGGTAATACTGTATTTATTTATTTTTATTTTTTTATAGACTTGTAGGAATATTACCTACGCAGACCTAAAGCTAAAATGCTGGTCCACCCACTGCTGGGATAAAACACCAGCGTCTTTTTGGTTAAATGTAACATCTCCACCACTAGTGGGGGATGCAACTTTTAGCTTCAGACATGAAAAATATTTATCATTTACTGCCAGTAAACAATGGAAACATAAAATATATACCAATTAGTAATGAAAAGTTGTGCAGTTCCTTCAGCAAATGAAGCTCACCAACTTACAATAGGCTAAATTACCTTACAACTTGTTTTCAGTAGTCTATGTTGAAGTTCTTAGCACAGGCTAACTTATCATATCACATACGGTATCACAGTTCTCATTGATCTACAAAAAATACTGGTAATAAAAACCTTTTCGATATTTCACACTTAATATAATACCCGGTAATCTACTTCAACCTCCTATTGTTTACAACGACGCATGACGCACCACCAGCTGTTGAGTATCAGCTAGACGGTACTCATGTTTTTCGAATCGTTTTCAGTTAAAAAACTGTTACATCACATGTATATTTTACCTTAACTGTGCCTGAATGAATATATTCTCGGAAATAAATAGTAGTTTTGCTGAAACGTGATGTATTTTAATGTAAAATAGGATAAAATACATGACGAAAACAAAAGATTTTACCTAACCTTCCGATGTTCAAGAGAAGTTATTCATTTTTTTTAATAGTTTTTGGTTAAAATACTGTTGTATTACAATGGTATTCTATTCATACTGTGCTTGATATAATGCATTCACGGAAATGTAATATTTTTGCTGAAATGACGTACGTATTACAGTGGAAAGTGGGATAAAATCGTGACGAAAACATTGACTTTCGCTTTCTTTCGTTCAAAAGATGTTACCGTAATTGCTTTTCGATTGGTTTTCAGTTAAAAAACTGTTGTATTACAATAATATTCTATCCTAATTGACTTGAATAAATACTACGATACCATATTTCTGAATATTTTCATTAAAATCCATCCAAATCATTTTCCTTGTCATCGTCTGCAGCACCAAACAGCTTCTCCCAGTCCTCTCCTTGAATAGGGCTAGAGGGTACGTGTTTTTCGAATCGTTTTCAGTTAAAAAACTGTTACATCACAAGTATATTTTACCTAAACTGCTCCTGAATGAATATATTCTCGGAAATAAATAGTAGTTTTGCTGAAACGTGATGTATTTCAATGTAAAATAGGATAAAACGCATGACGAAAACAAAAGACTTTACCCAAGCTTCCGATGTTCTTGAGATGTTACTCGTTTTTTTAATAGTTTTCGGTTAGAATACTGTTATATTACAATGATATTCTATTCATACTGTGCTTGATATAATACATTCACGGAAATGTAATATTTTTGCTGAAATTACGTACGTATTACAGTGGAAAGTGGGATAAAATCGTGACGAAAACAATGACTTTGAAATATAATGCAATATTAACCCCTAAATCGGTTAATTCGGACAATTGGCTAAAACGGACACCCTTCCCCCCTATTAGTCCGAATTAACAAGGGTCGACTGTAGTCCAATACATTTATTTTACCATTTGAAAGTATGTTTGATTATAAAGTATCACAATGGTAAAGATTACATGTAACATTATTATTCAGCATAAGTATGATACATAACTTTGTCACCAAGGTCATTGGTTGATTCACTCTTCACTTAATGGTTTAAGTATAAGATTAACACCATTCTTGGGCCTTAAGATTCCCACACCAAATTCCACTTCCATCTCCTCATAACCAGGAGCCAGTTGAAGGTCTGCTGCCAGTATCATCTTTCCTAGAGCCACTTTTGCCTCCATCAGAGCAAACCTCATTGCTGGAAAGAGTTATGATTTAAATCCCTATATCCTACAACTCTTCCTTTAAAATTTCCTCATAACCAGAGATTTAAGATGATAGCTAACTGGCTTTTTTGAGTTAATGTACGAAATAAAAAATAATTTCAAATATGGCAAAAAATCACACTTGGGTCCAAACTTAACACAAGACTACCTTGTTGACTGCTTGAAAATTAATGACAAATAATTAACGTAAATTAAAATGATGTAAAATATTCACTCAAGATTTAGGTCTAGTTTACATGTCTAGGTTAATAAAAAAAAATTTTCAAACATTAAAAGTGGGATCAAACCCAGGGCCACTTGCTTACAAGGCCAGTATGCTGATCACTATTCCATGGGTGACCATGCAGTACTGATATCGCACTCACTTATTACTTTGGTCCACACAAGTTAACTACTTTACAATACAGTAAGTCCTCGTTTAATGTTGCCCCTGGTAACGTTGTTTTGTTATAACGTCGCTACTCTTTAGATACCAATAATTCGGTTAACGTCCCAATGACTCAATATAACGTCGTTTTTAGTCATCCCGGACTACTTTTTACGGCACATCACCCCCTCTCACCTTGCCGCGCTACTCTCTCTCGTCTTGGCTCACTGCCTCTCACTCGCAGAACGTCACAGCGTCGTCAGTTTTTGTTAGGCTTCCAAGCGCCCATCTAGTGCTACTGATGTTAGTGTTGTGAAGAAGCAACGTAAGACAATTAGCCTTGCTAAGAAAATTGAGGTTTTAAACTGGGAGGAGGAGCCACCTGCCGGGTCCCAGTGACTCGCCACCGTCCTCCTCCGCTCCACTACCCACCACACACTCGCTCCACCTCCGCCCATCAGTGTGTACAATACAAAATGATTTAGTTTATATATATATATATACAGTTGTACCCCACTTAACGCGGTCAATAGAACCCAGAGGGTCCCGCGTTAAGTGAACAACAGAACATATGGGATTAATTCCAATAGAAACCAGCCCGACCCCCAAACTCCACTTTTTGACGACACATAACTATGTTATAGTAAAAATTTTATCTTAACTTTATGATGGTATGAAAAAACAAGTAATATAGAAGTGGTTAGGTTAGGAAAAATAAAGGTTAACATAGGAAAAATAAAGGTTAGGTTAGAGAAACTAAAAGTTAGGTGGAACACTTACGGTAGTAGAAGAGATGGGTCGGCATACGGGGATGGAGGCTGGTTCCAAGGCAGAGGGCAGATTACTGGCCCTCGGGTGAATCACCATCACTGTCACTTACAGTTGTCAGGGCTTCCCTGACAAATCCCTCAAAGTCAACTTCACTGTCACTATCACTGGCTTGGGCTGGCTGTGGTGGGTTGCGGGCGAAGAACTCGGTTATGCTTTTTTGACGGCTGGCGTTTATGTTGTCTTGGTACACCGTGATGTACGGCTCCATAGCCTGCACCAGCCGGGTATGGAAGACTTCATAGCGGTCATTGTCATTGTCGCGGGAAAGGACGGACTTCATTTTCTCCGCAAACTCTATGGCACACTTAATATCACTACGACTTAAACTGTGTTCTTCGGAGACTGACGCACCTTTTTCCTCCTCTTCACTGACGTGTTCTTCTTCCAACATCTCGTCGGCAGTCACTTCAGGATCTCTGATCACCTCCAGGATGTCTTCGTTGGTGGTCTCGGAGAAGCCTTCAGCTGTAATATTGAGCGCAGCTTCTCTGGCAAGGTCCACTGCTACTGCAACAGACTGAACCTCACCAGTCACAGGTTCACTCCTCCTCTCACTTGGTATGCCATGCAACACATGTCTCCATGCGTGACGAATCGTAGCAATAGTCAGCAGATCCCATGCCTCCACCAAGAAGTCTACAGCTTGTTTAACGTTAAACTTCTTCCAAAATTGTTTGACGAGAAGTTCTTGAGCCGCCACCTCTTGTTCCTTGTCCTCGTCGCTTTTGCTCTCGCTGTCGGTGTCACCCAGCATACGCAACTCATCCTTGGTGTTGGTAGAGTCGTTCAGGAGCTTGAACTTCTTTGCAGAGTACGCAGCTTTCACATTGCAAATCAACTCCTGGTCCATGGGCTGGATTAATGACGTAGTGTTGGGAGGAAGGAAGACCACTTTTACGCTGGGGTGACGATCCATAAGTAGGGGCGAGTGTCCAGGTGCGTTGTCAAGGAGCAACAAAATATTGAATGAAACATTCTGTTGCTCGCAGAATTTCTTCACGTCAGGAACAAAACAGTTGTCAAACCAGAAGAGGGACAGAGAAGAGGACATCCACGCCTTACGTGCGGTTAGCCAGTGGACATTAAGCTTGTTCATGTCCATATTCTTGTAGGCGTGCGGCTTGCGGGCTGTGTGAATCACCGATAACTTTGGTTTACAGGTACCGGAGGCATTGGTGGTAAACAGGACGGTGATGCGTTCCTTCTGCAACTTCCGACCCCTTACCTTGCTGGCAGACTGGACAACGAAGGTCTTGGAAGGTAGCTTTTTCCAGAAAAGACCAGATTCGTCCATGTTAAACACCTGGTCGTCAGTGTACTGTCCTTCCTCCATAATCTCACGTAAGAACGGAGGAAAATCTCTAGCCGCCACACGGTCAGCACTCGCTTCCTCACCACCAATGTTGATGTTGGTGATCTTGTTCCTCTTCTTAAACCTATGCAGCCAACCAGAGGAAGCATTGAAGGGTTTGGGCTCTGCAATTCCCAGCTTACGTGACACTGCTGCGTATAGCTCACGTGCGTACTCCTGCACTGAGCGCGTGTCCACCGCCATGTTGCGTCGCGCCTGACGAATCAAATAATTCACCAGCAAATTTTCCACTTTTGCCAGCACCCTGTTCTGGCAATACCTGATAGATGAAGCACCTGCAGACTTTGTGATTTTCATGTGCTCTTTGATCTTGGCTGCATCCTTCTTGATCGTGCGAATCGTAGATTCGTTGACGCCATGCTTGCGCGCGAGATCAATTTGCCGTGTTCCTTTCTCCAAATCTTGAACAATTTGGTACTTCACCTCGTAGCTTAAGGAACGTCGTGTCTTCTTTGGCTTAGTGCCGCTGGGTCCAGGTAAGGAAAGGTCTCTCTCTGGTGGCGGTGGTGGTCCGGCGGAAGCCATTTTACGGAACAATGGATGCGCGTTTACACGGTGTGGCCTTGAGGGATGAAACTGCTGCGGCTAGGTCAAGCGTCGTCTTTCCTCCCTCCCTCCCCCCCTCCCTCCCTCCCCCGGGTGGTCACGTCATAATACTTTAAGCCAATTAAAGCTAGCAGCAGAGGGGGGTAGGGATGCATGGCCAATCACAGTCCGATACGTCATATGACGTCAGTGATAACGCAACAAAGACACACACTGCGCAACCTTACCGCGCGGCTTGCCCAAGCGGAGGGAGGAGGAGGGAGAGGCGAGGAGCACAGGCAGGCAGGCGGGCGGGCGGGTGGCGCGAGGGGAAAATCTAAAAATAGCGTCGCGCCGGACACTCTCCGCGTAATGGCGTTCGCGACCGCGGAATGTAAGAATGTTAGGTTCTGGCAAGGCACCGCGTTAACGGTGAAACGCGGAATGCGGGACCGCGTAATATGAGGACCAACTGTATATATATATATATATATATATATATATATATATATATATATATATATATATATATATATATACACACACACCTAGACCCCGACTTACGACGGGGTTAGGGACCCAAATCCAGGTCGTAAGTCCGGCATGGTCGTAAGTCCGACAAAAATAAAAAATAAAAAATCTACAATGAAATACAGTACAGTAAAAGTAATGAATAATGATGAATGGATACAGTACAGTGAAAGTAATAAATAATAAGGAATGGATACAGTGTGACTGAGCACTTAACCTTTAATGTAGTCAGCTGAATGCACATGGGGCCCCCATAATTTTCTAATTATACATGGAGACTACATTAACTGGAAACGTTTCGGTATAGAAAATGCGTGTCATTTTTTTTATCTATATCTGAGGCGGTCGTAGTCCCGACGGTCGTAAGTCCACGTAGTCGTAAGTCGGGGTCTAGGTGTGTATATATATATATATATATATATATATATATATATATATATATATATATATATATATATATATATATATATATATATATATACATATATATATACAGTTGGTCCTCACAT